CGATTGATCCCAATCGCGAAGCCTGCTCTCTGTCGATGGTTCGGATCGCCCATAGTCACGTCCGGTCGGGCCCGGGTCAACCCCGAGGGTCGTTTTCCCTTCCCGGCCGAAGTCCAATTTTTTTCTAAGTCTCTGAGTCTGGTCCGGCGGACCGTCGTCTGGTCAGCCGGACCAGGTCTCCTTCTTCCCTGGTCCGCTCCGTCATTTTTGGTCCGGCAGTCCTAGAGAGAAACACGTCTGGTCCGGCGGACCAGGATTGGTCAGCCCCGGACCAGACTGTTCTTCCCCTCTCTCGGTCCGGTTCTTGGTCAGGCGGTGCGTGAGGGGTCGGAGTACGTCTGGTCCGGCGGACCAGGACTGGTCAGCCCCGGACCAGACGACTCTTCCCCCTTCGGTCCGTTCTTCTCGGTCCGTCGGTGCGCGGACTTCTCGAACACGTCTGGTCCGGCGGACCAGGACTGGTCCGGCGGACCAGGCCGTGTTTTTCTCTTGGTCCGACTTCCTCCTCTTGGTTCGGCGGACCGCGTGACCGCGACACGTCTGGTCAGCCGGACCAGGGTTTGGTCCGGCGGACCGGGCGTGTATTTTCCTCGGTCCGCCTTCTCTTTCCGCGGCTCGGCGGACTGCACGTGTTCTCCAGTCCTGGTCCGGAGCTGACCACGCATGGTCCGGCGGACCGGGACTGGAGCCTTCTTCTTCCTCGCGTTTTCTCCGATTTCAGCTCGAGTTTTCTCACCCGAATCGATCCGGGGTGACTTCTAAATGCCAATTAAACATGCATTTACATCCCTAGACATGTTCTAAGTCTCAACCATGCATGGTTCGGATCGCCCACAGTCACGTCTGGTCGGGCCCGGGTCAACCCCGAGGGTCGTTTTCCCTTCCCGGCCGAAGTCCAATTTTTTCTAAGTCTCTGAGTCTGGTCCGGCGGACCGTCGTCTGGTCAGCCGGACCAGGTCTCCTTCTTCCCTGGTCCGCTCCGTCATTTTTGGTCCGGCAGTCCTAGAGAGAAACACGTCTGGGCCGGCGGACCAGGTGAGAAGCTCCGGGACACGTCTGGGCACGTCCCTCTTGGTCTCACCGAGCTCCCCTTGCCTCGGTTCGTCTCCTTTCTCCCTCTTTCTCCCGGTTTTTGTTCTTCCTCCCCTTGCACCCGAAATGGTTTTGGGAGAGATTTGAAGGGCTGATTTCGTGTTGGGGAGGTGGCGAATGAGTTAAGTCTTGAGCTCACGGACGAGCCTGCAACTTACTCGAGGTGTGGGAGGCGACAGGACGACAGTCAACTCGCGGACTCAGGCGAAAACCGCGTCCCAAGACCGCAAGATGGCGAGCTGGAGATTCTGTCGAGTCCCGCTCTTTTCGCCTTTATTATCATCCTGTTAAAGATGACGTTTGACGCAGTCAAAGTACATTGCTCGTCATGATGGATACAATAGATATCTCAGGTCTGAGGATCCAATGTGAACCATCAAGTGAGATTCAAGTCATGTATTAAATCCAATCGACAATCTCATGCGAGTCATCCAGTCACTTGTTCCAAACAAGTACTCATGACCGTGATCCGTATCCTATACACATGATCATCATTATGATCATCCATCACGCCTCATGTTAGTCTTATTTCATCATTGTTCCCACAATGACAAACGACTAAGGAATTTAGGATCGTACATTACGATCCATGGATAATCATTATTTATTAAATATGCAAAATAAATAATGAATAAATAATGTATTCATCTAATAAATACATCGTATCATACATGGTTCTCATATCGTATGATCATCCTAGAGCATTACATCCTTCAGTCTCCCACTTGCTCTAAGTATGAT